AAAAATTTTATTATAGAGCGAAAATTTCAATAGTTACTATGTTTTATTATAAAAATTATCACGTGTTGCATTATTTATGATTGCCAGTGTATGTGTTCCGTTTATAAGAATTTTCAAAAGGTTTTGTATTTTTATATAAATAAATATGTATAATGTTAAAATTTTTTATTTTTGTTTGTTTATAAAAAATGTCAAGGTAGACCAACAGTAGAAGTTACACCTATCTTCTATTTATGATTTAACTGGTAATCCAATGTCTAATGGGTAAAGAAATTATTATATTTTTATAATTATTATTATTATTATATTTTTATTATTATTATTATATTTTTATTTCATAGTGCCATTTATTATTAAACTGGTAGTAATGGATCAATTTTTGATCTAACAGATTAAAGATTTTGTAAATCGGAATTAAATATAATTTTTGTTTTACCATAAAGTAGCTAACTCAGGCCAAATATTATTAACATTGATATATAATCTTGATTATCGAGAAAAAATTTTAGTTATTAAAAGAAAAGCATATCAATATGTATGTACATACATAAGAAGTGAAAATTGGTTTCGATTTTCGGAAAAAAAATTTTTAAAATGATGAACGGTAAATCCTGGAGAAAAAAAAACCCAATAAAAGACAAGACTTTAAAAGTTATTTGTAGTTTATATATGAAAGCATTCTGTATCGGTATGATATTCAATTCAAAAACCCTGCCAAATTAAAGCAACAGCCACTAGATAGAAATGTGGCTTATAGGAAATAGAATAATTTATTTGCACTACAAAATTCAAAATCAGGTGTAACGAGAAATTAAAAGCGAAGCGAAAAACCGCTTGTGACTCGAATAGATTAAAGTTTTATTGATTTAGAGTTCTTCTCCCCGAATAAAAATAATACTAATGTTTGTAGACATATTCATCAACAAACGGGATTATTAATAATACGATTCCTGATACCTACGTTTACCCGACTCTATTTCATTTACCTGTAATTGCCTGCCAAAATAAAATTTTCAATTCCAAAATCGAATCTAATTAAATATCCCAAAAATCCCAAGTATTTTTTTTGCTTGCGAATATAATTTTACTACTAACCATTTGCCTGACAATTATTACGAATATACGAAGGAGGTTAATGATTGACGATCTCATTCAATGGTAAAAGTCAAGCCAGGCAGAAACATTAACGGATTCGGAGAATCGCTTACAAATTGCTAGAGGTTAGCTAAATAATATATTTTCATTAATCTAAATAATTACTTGCAGTATTAAATAAGCTAAAAAATTGTGCTAGATAATATAGATACATTAAGTATCTCTGCCAAATGAAAAACTGGTAAGTACGAATTTAACTTTACATTGTATCGGACTTAGCTTCTGAACTGCGATACTACTAAATTGATCACTGCACGATCAAGGCCTTGAAAAAAGTTGCCGAGGTAACAAATGTTACGATTAGAACACTGATTCCAACGTATTTAAATTACATAATATTGCAATTCTTCTAAATCCAGTAGAAATTTCAATTCTTCACTTGGTACCTTCAAATAATGCATTTCATTAAATAATAATGATGTATATGGTATCAAAAACGTAAGATTTGCGTCCCTACTTGCGAGTTGATTCGCTACATGTGATCACGCGACCACGTGATTGGTTATTTTGACCCGGATCAAAAAAAAAGAATACGAAATTCACCAACATTAGCAAGTTCAAATTCTAGGTATTTGAGTATAAAAGGCAGTCATTATTTTTAAACATAATTGCCAGGAAAAATGTTTGTAAGTGATGAGACTCTGTTGTGTCGTTTATTCATCCACAATTTTAATTTTGTAAATACTAGGAATATAACCTGCTATGGACAGAACAAGCGACCAACGCCGTACAAGTTCGCCTACCTATAATCGACCTCGGGATACTACACCATATCGCTCAAGCTCTACCTATTTAGAAAGGGATAACTATTCAAGTTCTCATTATATACCTTCACGAAGTTATTCGCAAAATCCTGAATACTCAACGAGAGAACCTCCGCAAGGTATCAATCGTTATGAGGGACGAGAAGAGGAATCCCACCTAACTTTCAGAGGACAAGTCCCGTATGCTGGTAATTCAAGAGATCTAAAACCATACGGAAGACCACAACTACAACCTCCTCAACCTTATGATCGAAGACCACCATATCGTGGTGGAACACCATACAATATTCCGCATTCTCGTCAAAATGCTGGTGGACCACCACCCCATAATCACAGGGATTTTAGTGGGCCACCGTATAACCAGCCCTATTCAAGAGGAAGTCCAATTCAACATCACCCACCCTATCAAAGGCCACCGTTTCACACATCTCCTTTTCCTCCAGCCACTCCAAGGCCCCCGATCCCCCATCAGCCTTTGTTTCCATTAATTTCCACAAAGCCTATACAGAGCCCGATATCATATGCACCAGCATTAGAAGAAAAGGTATTTTTAATTATCTGATTTCGGAAAATTCTTTTAGTACAAGACTTAAGTTTTGATAATATTAGATAACGCAATATAAAGAAAAGTTCCAACAACTTAGGGAAGAGGAGTTCAAATTAACGGTTGATCTTCACAAAAGGCGTGGAGAATTGAACAAAGCAACGTGGGAACTGACTAAAGTCACGCATAACACTGCATTGGCGCTACAACAAATTGAAGTTCTTTATACACCGGAACAGATTGAGGCGCTTGTGAAAGAAGGTGAAGAAAATGCTGAAAGTAGGGATGGTAAAGTTAGTTTAGGTTTGGTTTAGGTTTTCAACCTTTTAGGTCCCAAATTAAAAGCCTAAGAACCAGGTTTTTATATCACAAGTTTCAAACCCCAAATTAAATCTGGTGTGGCTCAGATCCAAATTTTAAAACCTGGTTCTTAATATTTTGTAAGACATAAAAGTTAATTAGTATCAAGCTTTTAGAAATATAGATTTTGATCTTCTGAATACTTTACTTAGTATGCTAATATGGCGGGATGGGTAAAATGGCAGATCACATAATATCGAAGTTAGTGGGTCTATCAAAGAGAGTCTAATGATTCTTATATCGTTCAATTTGTCTCATCAAGATGAATCGAAGGATATAAAAAACTTTCGTTTCTAATCACTAGATTACGTGCGTACCAAATAATCATATCAATGATCTTTTGGCTCATATAAAGCGAGTAGGTACTTTAATTTTTTGATCTACCACTTTATCTTCCAAACGATAAAATTAGTTGATACTAATAAATGTTATGCGTATGCAAGATAACTTGCATTCCTTTTCTATTAGAGTTTAAATAAAAATTTTAACACCGTTATAATACCTTTACCTTATGTGATTATTAACAAAAATGTACAGTACAATATATAATAATAATAATAATTTAGAGATATGTTTCAACATCTGACTCAGCCGATAAACCAAAAAAATATCAACAGTCATAATTTTGACAACCGGTTTACTATAACAGATGGCTCACTCGAGTTACTCTTTGTCACTTGTTAATAAACGGGTGACTAGGAAATACGTCTTGTGAGAACATAGGGCCTATTCAGCGGTTCAGGTTGTTTTCAGCAGTGCAGTATTATAATATGCATTTAGATTATTCATAACAATTTAGAATAAATATAGTGTACTACGTAATGAAAATGTTCAAAATGTGCAAATTTCTTTAAAATTCATTTATGTTAAGGTTAGCATTTGTATTAAAGCTAAATATTAATAAAAAATATAGTAAAATCATCTAAGAAAATCTTTTAATTAAAGCATTAAGGATGATTTTTTATGCAAATTTTTGAAAAATATTTAATTTTTTGACAAGATAAATGTTTTTTTTGAATTTTTTTGATTGTATAATGTTACACTTAATCTTAAATCTGATTGATAGTTTGGTTTCAATCTAATATACAATTTAAATATACAAATATAAAAAAGTTGATATTGTCTTATTTTGAAGATACATAAGTGTTAATATTGTTTTTTCTTTTTTTTTTAATTTTAAGGTAAGTATTTGTGATCCAAAATTTTATTGATATTATGTTTTAGTTAATAGTTGCATTACAACTACAAAAGACAATTATAAAAAAAATATACAATTAGTTACTTGTATAATTTTAGTTATTATCTAATTTAAGTAATTCATCTAAAGGTTTTACACTAGTTGTTATATCTAGAATCTACTTGTAAGTTTTTTATTTAAACATTTTAGTTCTTATATTTATTATTTACTTACTTTACTAATTGTCTTGATCAATACTGTTACAAATAAATATGTTATAATTATAAAGCCTTTTAAAGCAATTTATTTATATAAGAAACTTTTGACTTTGTATTAAACTTATTAAAGTTTTCTGTATTTTATACTTATAATAATTTGGTATTGTTTTGGTTTAAATTAGTACTTGCAATTAGAATTAATCATTAAACTGCTATATTTTTGTAAAGTTTAATTAAATCTTAATACTTATTTTTCTAATATCTTCTTTATTATTTTTTATTGATTATTATTTAAAACTGATAAAACTTTTTAAATTACTAATTCAGATAATCCAATTTGTATACTTATATACAGTAAAACCTTTATATGTGTATCCTTTATAAGTGCACATCCTTTATAAGTGCACATCCTCTCTATATGCATGTCATGTTCCAGTCCTAAACTCAGACTTAGAGCTAAATGCACATTCTCTATATTCTGCATGTGCAAGCAATTTTTGGTTTCACACATATTAAAATGTTTTTTTTAAATACATATATGTAACTATTAGTAATGATAATCAATCAGAGTTTAGTATTTAAGTATGAGTCAATTATAATTTTTTTTTCAAGAAAATAACTGTTCAAAATTGTATTTAAAATTTTATATTATACAAATACATGTATCATTTTCTAACAAGTAGTAATATTCATAAAATTTTTGTTATCATAGCTTATAAGTTTTTTATATGTAATTTTTAAAGATGCCATGTATGTTTCATAAACAAATTAAAACACATTTATTATTCATACTGCCTGATTTGCATGTTTGTTAAATAAATATCAGTATATTAAATAACTATTAAAGGTGTTTATATAATTCTATTATTTCTATATAATTTTATCTTAAATAATGTAATTGCAAATGCAATTAGAAGATGCCTAAAAAGTAACTATAAAAAAAATTATCCAAGTCATGAATGAATAAATAAGCCAAACCACAACCAAGCTATAACTTGACAATTAAGCAAGCTTAATCATAGCTTTGGAACTGTACAAAATTGATATAACTAATTTAAGATAAAGATTCCAAAGTTATAATTAAACTGGCTTGATTATTAGCCAATCCTATCTACATAGATAAAGCTATGTTATTATTATGTATATTAAATATTAGTATCAATTTTAAGATTATCCAAATAAATAAATAAATAAATAAAATAAAAAATAATAAAATTAAATACTTCGTAATATGAAAGTACCATATTTTTATATAATATATTCAGCTGCATGTTATTTTGAATTAAATACTAATCATTTAATATATAAAAAAGATATAAAGATATTCATGTAATTGGTTAATTTTACATTGATTTAAACATGCACATTATTTTGGGATGTATATAGGCATTATTTTGAAGCCATACATCTTATTTTTAGATATTATAATTTTTGAAATTATGCTTATAAGCATTATTATGCAAAAATATGATATGATGAATTACTTTCATTATACTGCTCCAAAAGCCTTTAATTAAATAAAAAAATATAACCTTGATAAAAAAAAAATAAGAATATGTATATAAAATAATAATTATAAATAAAAGATGTAAATTCAAAAAAAATCAAATCAAATAAAAATAAAACATAAAACATAAAAATTAAATAAACCTTCATGCAATACTGTATTTAAAAATGTCTTACAAGAAAACCATTCTAACCAAAATTCAAAAGTGTGATATTTGTACTTACACTCTTAATAATAAACTAACACAGGCTCAATACATTAATTAAATTGAAGAACAGTGAAGAGTTAGAATTAATGAAAATACTGTTTCTTGTATTTTAAAAACAGAAAAACAATGGCTTAGTTTTGAACCAATTAGCCTAGATGTAAAATAACATAAATCTGTTTTCTATCCTGAGCTTAAGCTTGCACTCAAGGAATTTGTTTTAAATTATCAAAATAGAACAGTCTTAAGTGATGCATTACTTATTAAAAAAGCAAAAATGCTTGCTGAAAGATTGAAAATTCCTCAAAATACATTACAATTTTCTGCTAGATGGCTTTAAAAGTTTAAGGATCATAATGATATTTATTAATAAAGAATTGAAGGGAAGGCAGGATCTGCTGATGAAACTACTATTAATAATGCTTTACCTTTGTTGCAAAATCATTGCTCTGAATATTCTCTTGAAAGAATCTACAATATAGATGAAACCAGACTTTTTTATAGGTAAAATTGTTTAATGATATCTTATTATTCTATATCTTTAAAGAAATGTTTTCTGTTGTTTAGTTAGAATAACTAATATTAATATATTAGCTGCTATCAATATAAATCAATTATATTTATTTGATTGCATAAGAGAGAAAGCCAGAAAATCTAATAATCTATTTTTAGGTTTCCTGATTTTTACTCTTATGCATTTATTTAATAAATATGACTAATTTTTATTAATAGCAGCTTATATTTTTATTTTATAGATTAGAGCCAGATTGAACACTAGCAACTAGATGCCTTTTTGGACATAAAATGAATAAAAAACATCTTTTGATTACATTATGTATAAATGCTAATAGCTCTTATAAATTAAACCCTATTATAATCAGCAAATATCAAAGACCTTACTGTTTTAAAAATATAAAAGTTTAAAATATACCTATGAAGTATAATAGTAATGTGAAAGTTTAGATGATTTCATTACTTTTTCAAGAATAGGTTCAAGAATTTGATTATCAAGTTGGTCTAATGCATCAAGGCCAACATGTATTACTTCTTCTTGATAACTGCCCTAGTTATAATTTAGCTGGACTTATTTTGCAGTATACCAAAATTTTTTTTTGCCTTCAAATACTACTTCAAAAATCCAACCATTGGATGCTGGGATTATCATAATCTTTAAAAGACACTATTGTTATCTTTATGTATAGTAAGATATATCTATATTAAATCTATAAAAAAATATAAGTCTGATTTTTTTTTTTTTTTTTTTTTTTTTTTGCTCTTAAGCAGTCACACTAGTACTTTATTAAGATTCTTGAAACTATATACAATAATTACATAAAATTTTCCTAATAACTAAGTTTAGCATCACCTAGCCACCCTATTGGTACCTAAATATGACCTGTTACACTATCTCAATCAGAGGTAAACTGCTTATCTGACTACTTAAAGTTGTACTAGAAAGGATTTCTCTCTTCTGGAACAAGCATTAACTATCTTCAATCCTTCCTTTAAATTCTTCTTTCTTCTCAAAGGGCCAAAAAAAGAGATATATTATAAAATTGAATACAAATAAGAAAATGACTAAAAAAACTAAAAGTAAACAAACAAAACCCAAATCAAAACAAAACAGCAAAACAAACACATAATAATAAGAAGAAAAAAAAACAAAAAGAGGGCTGAAGCCCCAGTCAGAGCAAATTGTAAAAATTATATAGTATTGCTACTTTTAGTCTCTATTCTAAAAATAGGTCTATACCATATGTAAATATTATTCGATGATAGAGATGTCGATATTTAATTTCTTTCTCATCAGTTCTACAGCCAATCCTTTTATTTCAATTAGAGTTACTCCTAATTCCAGAAAAGAAATAATTCTTCTATTCTCAAAATAAACAATTTCTATAGATCTTTCATAAGGAGTACACTAAATTTCTACTTTTTGTAAAAACTTTCATCAAAAACCAAGCAAGGAATATGGTAATGGTGTTCGGTTAGCAGGTATTCTTGAATTTCTAGTGAATGTGTTGAAAACTTGCTTATTGTTCTCCTATAAGGCCTACTATTTTAACTTCATTAACAGAAGCCAAGACTTCTACTAAAATTTGTTATACAAGGGTGCCTCCTGCCAGTTATCTTGTATATGCATGCTTTTAGTTTGCTTGCTAAATATATAAAGGAGTCTAGTATAGAAGAATCACTTTGACTTTTATAAAAATCATTATTTATATAGTAACCTCTTCTACTTTCTCTAATAAGTTTTCTGTTTTTGTTGGTATGAAATTTGGTATAAGTGATCATCAGGAAGAGTTGTGCTGACTTTTTTATTTTATTTTATTTTATTTTTTTTTTAAAGCTTAATGTTGCAACATGTAGAAGAAGACAACTATGCTGAAGATTTGTACATAAATGTCTTGCAAACAATTAATTTTATTATTCAAGCCTAGAATGAAGTTAGTACTAAAACTATTTACAATTGTTAGTGCTATACAAGGATTCTTTCAGACATTATTAATGCAAAAAGAAATACTTTAGCAAGTACTTTGGCAAATACTTTGGCAAATACTTACCAAGAAAATTTAGCATATGATGATCTTGTAGATGTTTTGCAAGCTTTTAGACTTTCTTATCTGATAAAAGTTGAAGAATTTCTTACTATTTCTGAAAGAAGATATAGTCTATGAAGTTCTAGCTAAAGATCAAATTATTGAAGAACTCACATATCTTTTTAGGAATACTGATAAAGATGTAGATTTGAATAAAGCAGATGATAGCTCTAAAAGTTTTATTATTAGTGCCAACACTGCTATGTCTAGCTTAAAAACTGTTTATATGTTTCTTTTTCAACAAGATGGTGCAGAAAAATGTGTAAGATTAGTAGAAAAGATTGAAAAATTTATTAGAGTTAAAAAAACAAGATTAATGTGACAAACAAGTATTAACATATTTTTTAGTTAAAATAAGTACTTAGCTTATAACTTTTTATTACTTTATTTAAAATAAATTCTCTCTTAAAATTGTAAATGATTGTACTGCATAAAAGTTCTTTTAATAATACTATATCCTATAAATCTCTATTAATTAAACATGATTTTTTTTAAAGATCTGGATTACCTATTATAAATACAATGCAATACTTATTTTAAAATTTTATTTCTATGATATAAAATTTTACATGTACATACATACTTGGAATCTTAGTTTTAAATTTATAAAATAACATACCCAGATTTTATAATAAGTATTTGCTAGAAATAAGATATTCAAAAAAAAAAATAATCTTGTATCAACCCTAAATATATAAAGATTTGTGATCTACTATTTATTTGAAGTGTTTACTGCTTATTCAAAAAATATTAAAACCATTATAGTTTCAAAGCCTTCGATATAATTATATATATATACATATATACATATATGCATATACTGTATTAGGTATGTAATAGTTGTAAAAAATTCTCTATTACATGATATAGATTAAATTTGATTAGCCATTCTCTAAGTGCACACCTTCTCTAAATACATGCACATGCCCAGTTCTAAGGATGTGCACTTATAGAGGTTTTACTATATATATATTTTTAGTAACCTAGTTAATATATATATTTCTAGAGGATGGTGATCCTAGTGTAGTGGTTGGGTTGTTATCCTCCAAGTGGCAGGTCTAAAATTCAAATCCCACCTACGACGAAATTTGGAAATTATATCTGTGTTACGGTAACTGTCTCCTGTTGATCGGTTGGCCTCATGTGGCTGTTACCCAGGTACACCAGGCCGGGTCCCCCCGGCTTTGGGAGCTCAAGGCATCTA